CTCTCCCTCGCTCTCCCTCTCTCTCCCTCTCTCTTTGCCCCTCTGCTGTCCCATCTCTCTCTCTCTCTGACATAGCACCGCATCCATAAATCTGAATGGAATGAAGTCTGTTGATCCTGTGCTGTTGACTCTGGGCTCGACTTACAGACGTCAGATCGGGCCCCAGATGACGTTGATGGAGGCGGCGAGGGCTGCAGCTTGGTCTCAGACAGGGGATGGTGTTCCTGCAAGTGGCATTCCACCAAGTGGTATTCCTGAAAATGCCAATGGAGCGGCAACAAGGCCATCTGTTCCAGCCACAAACAGCAGGCCTGGAGTTAATTTTGGTGCTGGTGCCGGTGTGGGTGTGAGTGGCTCAACTCTGGGGATGGGGCAGAGTATGCAGACGAACAGACCCCATCAAGGTGGCAGGCCCATTGTTGCAGCGGCGCCGGGTGTCGCAACAACTCCGATGCAGGAGCCGTATGCTGCAGATCGACACGCTCGGCAAGTGCAGTCATCCGGCCAACCGACTTGTGCGGAAGGATCAGAGCAAGGTCAGCAGTTTCGAGCACATGTGCAGCCTCCTGGCAGCGCTTCGGATCCTGATCCTCTGCGCTCTGAGAATAGAACTTCACGTTTTCAGTCTGTCACAGGTGATGGTCGTCTGCCCCAGCATCGTCATATGCCCCCACATTTACAACCTTTACCAGATGAGGATGAAGATGAATTTGTGCTAGATGAAGACAGAATTCCCCCTCACATGCAGCCACTGCCAGATGATGATGACGACGATGGCGGCGATCTGTTGCCACATCAGAATCTTCCCCCTCATCTGCAGCCACTGCCAGATGATGATGATGATGATGATGATGATGGTGGCTATCTGTCGCCACATCAGCATCTTCCCCCCCATCTGCAGCCACTGCCAGATGATGATGATGATGATGGCGGCTATCTGTTGCCACATCAGAATCTTCCCCCCCATCTGCAGCCACTACCAGACGACACACCCACTGGATCTACTAGGGACATGCACCAACGCAGGGGGGACTTATCACCAGCCCATCAACCCTTCCCTGAGGGTATGGGTCATGCACACCGCAGTGGTGAGAAGAGAGGCCGGGTTGGTGATAATGAGCCATTGAAGGGTGTCGCGAGCAACATTGGGAGCGCATGTGAGTTGCCATTACATGGCAGGATGCCAAGGTTGGGGTCCGTCACAGATGGCAGAGAGCAGGCTTCTGACCTGGGAGACTCTGCCATTCTGAAAAAATGCACCGATTCTGCAAGTATGTTGGCGAGGAGGACTGCAGCAGATGAAGCCAGCATTGCAGGGGGGCCTGCGTCAGAGGCATGCCGCGTGAGATCATCAACAGGAATGCAAACATCATCTATTGGTAAAGCGTTGTTTCTCGGAATCACACTCCTGTGGCCATGCTTTATGTGTCTTATGATGAGAGTATGGGGACCCTGGGGGAGCTGCAAAAGCCACTCCGTTCCAGATGGAGAATGACGGGGGAGGGAACAAAGAGAGAATTATCTGCAAAAGCGACTCTGTTCCGGACGGAGAATGACAGGGGGGGGACACAGAGAGAATTGGCTTTAGAAAAGTGAGCTGTTTTTCGTTTTCCTGTGTTTCCGCACAGGTGTGGAATGCTCGAAAGAACAAAATGCTGAAACAGAAATGTAACTTCCAAGAAGCTTCAGTTCTGAAGAGCACTGTGGAAGCAGCTTGATACTCGATGATACATCGGGCATGTCAATTGATCAGGAGTATGATTGTCTTTCTCTGCCAGATTGAGGCTGCATGGCGGGGTCGGGAGGGCGGGGAGGGTTAAAAGAGGGATTAAGAGTGTACTCACACCAGGACTATTGGATGTATATATATTATATACCTGAGTGTAATTATAGCCAGGTCCAGGCGAAAACAGGGAGCGTTAAAAGAGGGAGTAGGAGCATATTCACACCAGGACTCTATTGGATGTGTATATATATACCTGACTCACTTGAGTGTATTTATAGTCAGTGCCGGTTGTGAACCTCCTACCGTGAGTATAGGCTATTGCATTGATTGGTGCATGGATTGTTCTTCCGCTTAGTTGTGGAAAGTCAGAAGACGCAATCTCAGGGAGGAGTGCGTACACATGTTCAAGTGTCTGATCTCTCATAGTTTAGTACAACAATCATGGAATCTAAGCTTGTTAGTAAGCAGCTTCCAGAGGCAATAAGCTAATTGTAGAGTATAAATGTTGTCTGTTCCCAGAGTTTCTGCTGCCCAGCAGCATTGTTGATTTTCGGTCTGGCTTGCGGTGTTACCATTTTGTTGCTCTTCTTTGTACTTCTGGTTGGGTCAAGAGACTCAAGACTCAGTTGTTGACATGAACTGTTCAACATTCACTGATCTTAAGTGTTGTGCATATGCTTGGAGAACGACTGTGGGTTGTTTCATTAACGGTTATACGGATGTAATATCTGATGTATCTGATTGCAGTTACGATGAGATATATTGGTGGGACATCGACTGTGGCTCCGTGATTGTGGGACAGGTTGCTTCTTTTTTCGTTTCGTAATTGGAGCCTTTTGGAGGTAGATAAATTTCATTTTGTCTATCAGGATTTGAACTCTGGATCTGTTCATCGATAGTTAATAAGTGTGTGGACCCTTCGGCCAGCAGCGTCCAGTATTGTGGGAGATCTCTAGCGTCTGCATTACCCATGAACCGACCACCGTCTATTGTCATATGCTCACCCATTAGTTTTCCTTTATTAGGAGGTAGCCCCTAACCTCGTTGCATCCGACAGGCCTCAAAACTCTCGATCTTTTTATCAAGAGTTACATGTGTTTTTGGTGTGCCATTCTGCCAGTAGGGCCAACTATTGTGGTAGATTTGTTACCCAGCACTGACCACTGTTCATTCTCTCAGCAAATGATGGTATATTGTCCGAGGACGGGTTTGTGACAGTCTGAAAGAGTGAATGCCGGAGAATTCTTTGGGCCCGAGTTCCCCATCTGATGTATCTGGTAGTGTCTAGTCTCATCTACTTCGATATCGTGCAGTAATTCGTCAATTTGGTTGACATGGATAATAAGAATAGGGTCGTTAAATTTTGTCTGATGCAATGGAATGTGGGTATTTAAGCCCAGTGGGCTCCTGTAAAAACTTTGGAGAATTGAGGTTAGGGGAAATGTTGAAGAATGCAAGAAACAACTTGGAAGGGGCCCTGCATGACCCGGGAACTCTCTCTCTCTCTCTCTCTCTCTCTCTCTCTCTCTCTCTCTCTCTCTCTCTCTCT